AAGAAATCTTTTATGCTCTCTCAAGACTGAAATAAAAATGAGAGGCCAGGGTAGGAAACTGAGTTGATTTCTTTGCTGGCACTTCAAACAGATTCCAATACTGTGAAATTATCTTGGGAGTTATCTCTCAAACTTCAGGTAGTTAAAAATGATGATAAGACATGTTCTGTTGCTTAAGGATTTGCTGACATCTAACGCCTCCCCCCCCCCCATAAATGCAGTGATGACATTTCTGAGTTAATAAAGGATCTGAGGAAGACATGGCCTCAAGCAACACTTTTATTACCATTACTTCTCCACAAGCTAACTCCTCTGCCACGACCCTCCCACCCAAGTACACCCTACCCCTTGCCTCACTGTTACTAATCCAACTTGAATGACTCTATTCTTCTCTAAGAGAACACACCCTAATAACTGCAGTGAATCATACACACTCTGCTTTTCTGGTCTCTAGTGGACTTGACAAAACGCAGATCTGAGAGAATATAAGGAAAGGAACTTCAGGTGAAAGGAGCTCTTTAGGTTCTTGTTCAGTATATTACTCTCAAATTAGTTACCGGATGAATACTCTAGTTGCCTGGTGGTGGACAGGTTTTTATCATACTGTTGACCATCCCCGAATTTCCATGCTCTCAGGAGACACCCTACTCAGTGAGGCAACCTCATGGTCGTGCCTGCAGCTAAGTCAAGGGCTCTCTCACCTTCAGGCTGAAAGAAAATCTTTTTCTTCTTAACTTGGCTAAAGAATATTGAACAGTTTACTCACAAAGGTCACCTTTTGATAACAAAGTCTTCAATGGTCTCTACGAGTGAATCACCACACATTATAAAAAATTCATGTGAGGCCTTTAGGTAATAAAAGAAACGGAAATAGTTCGTCAATTATTCTCAAAGGAAAATTTATGAGATGACAGAGTACTAAAATAAAACACATTTTCTTTACCATGGATATCTTATGATACTGAATTCATGGCAAGAACCTAGAGGCGAGTTTTTGAAGGTAGCTATCAAATTATATGCAAATATCGTAAGAAACATTAAAAGCCAATTAAGAGAATTTAGTAGATTTTCTCAAGTGTTATAAATCTGTATTACATTTAGTTTATTTAAATTGTCTTAATATTATTAATCAAATTAATAATGTGTATTCTGCATAATTCCTCACCTAGTGGGTTTAAATCTGGTTTTAAAAGTGTGCATTTACGTCTTTTAATTGTTTAAAAAATACCTATGGATACTATGTCTACATAATATAATTTTTTTATTTTTATTTTTTTAGTCAACACAGAAAATTCAATGGAATGGAATTTAGACCATCCTGAGATTACTGTTAAGATTTAAAAAATAATGCTAAAGCCAAGAATTTAAAAAATAAATATATCTATTGAAACAAAATTTTGAATTGTGGCTTAAAAGTGTGCGTGTGTTTGTATGGAGAAAGAGAAAGGGTGGGGGGACAGGGAGACACTGCTCACTATTCTCTTCTTGCTATTAAAAAAGAATAAAAAAACCTCATAAAGATTTTTTAGGTCTGTGTCATCATCCCACGAACAATAATCACAGAGAATGGAAGATGCATTTTACCTCTCCCCGATGAATAACAAAGTGACTAACAGTAGCCCTGGGTATTGAAGAAATTTAAAAACACAATGAGAAAGCCTGCTTTAGGTTGATATTAATTACTATTATCATTGAATTCCACTGCTCAAATTGTTCTCCATGGTAGGGTAAGGAGTCCTTGCCTTCTGGCTCTCTGGGGCAGTATTTTCCCCTGCCTGGAAGGTTTCATAGGAAATATGCAATGTCCTGTGTCAGAAACACCAAACTCCTTGAAGGTCAATAGATTTGGGGCTCCTAAAGACATGCAAATGTTTGCTAGGCTTTATCTAAAGGTACAGTAAAACTACAGAGGCTATATCCCAGATCCCTTACACTAAATTGAGAGTGGAATGCGTGTTTCCATTTTGGTATGTGAAGGGAGTAAGTAAAATACAAACATATAAGGGGAAATCATTCGATTCTAACAACACACGTAACTCCGAGATGTAGGTCAACAAATGAACACTTCTGAAAACAGGTTTTTCTGAGTACTTATTCTGAAGTTCTTTAAAAATCTGGCCAAATGAGTCTTATTTTTATATACTAGCTCACATAATAAGCAAGTTAGAACGTTTGCAAGGCAAGACGTTTTCCTTTATGCAGCCAGCAAAAACAGCTCTAAGCTTAGGTTGGAATGATAAAAGGATTTTGGAGCAGCTGATTTTATGGAACCATAAAAACAACCCAACCTTATGCCGCAAGGTGTAAAGAATACGCAGAGTCTGCATTGTGCTTCCAGTGTCAGGACAAATCGTTCTGCTTTTTTCAGTGTAACTGATGCCAATGGATGAGTAAAGGGAGAAATAAAAGTACAGACTGGCACCTGTGGCTTGGTTGGGTGAATAACGCCCCTATCACAAAATCTTGAGTTCTCTCTTTCATTTTGTAAATTCCTTGAGGTTAATTTATATAATTTTTGAAAAACCTAGGCGTGGAATACATATTATTGTGGAGGCTCCAAGGTTTCTGCTATTTGTGGCTTAAATTGTGAGAGATCTCGCAGATCACAGGCCCATTTAAAAAAAAAAAAAAAATCTGTGGCCTTTTTTGGAAAGTAAAAGGATGAAAGAATTATGTGATGCGTTGTTTTAAATCAATTAGGGGATGATGAATACAGTTGCTATAGAAAATAGCAACTATTGGCTGCTTCCTAGATACTAGGGCCATTCTCATTGCCTGTAATGAATTCTCACTTAATGCCCCAATCCCTAGGAGGTCGATATTATAACCCCCTTTTATCCACAGGGAAACCAAGGCACAGAGACACTACACTACAAAGCACATAAAATGATGATGCCAGGATTTGGACCTAGGCCGTGTGACTCCCGCATTCATGCCTTTAAGACTGCATTAGGTTGTCTTCAGGCTCTGTATTTATATCCGACGGCTTGGGACCCAGTGAAGTCCTTCTGGGTCCCGGCTACTTCTAAGCCGAAGTCTTAGCAAAGAGACAGGCTCAGCGTTGACAATGGCCACGCATCCGGACCGAGGACACTGGCCCCTTAACATTCCCAGTTTCCTCCCGACTCAGAAATTACTCAGCTGTCTCTCCCCAAACGCAGTGCTCCACCCAATTTAGGTAACAGACTCCCCCCCCCAGGAAACTCGGGGTAGTTTAGACTAAGGCTGCCGCTGCCCAGGCCCCAGCAAGGGCCACGTCGGCCTCAAGCGTCTGCGCTGTGGAACGACACCATCTTACTCGGGTTGTCCCGCTTCCTCTATGGCACCGCAACAAACTTCACAGGATTACATTTTCTCTCAGATTCGAAGCCAAGCTGAGGAAATTTAAATTCTGAGGTAAACACACAACAGCTGTGACTGCACCGCCGCGTTTGCCGCATGAAAGGCTAGAAATTAGCTCAGCCGCACCCGCTGGGACTCTTGGAGAAATTTCCAACATGTCGGAATCTCAATAGACCATTAACCCAGCGCTGCTCTTTTGGGGTCTCTGCCTTTGCAGAGTTTACAGACTGTACATTTAAATTTAACACACAGCAGTCCCTGAGGCTCTCGGTCCGGTCAAGTCTGAGGAAAGGTCTTTGCTGGGGTGAGCGAAGAGACAAGACAAACGGGAGTCAGGAGAAGGGGAGAGACATCCCGAGACATACACTTCACAAACACAAAAACAAAGAAGCAGGAAGGAAAGTTTTGCATGGAAAGAGGAGGGAGGGGAAACAGCGAAGAAAAGCGCGCTCCTTCCGAATTGGTCAACCGCCCCCCAGCTCTACCCGGCCCGCCCGACGCCTGCAGAGACGAGCGGCTGCGCGCGCGCAGTCCGGCTGCCTTGGGGCGCTGGGCGGAGCAGAGCCGCGCGCGTTGGTCAGCTTGGCCAATCATGAGTCTCTGCCGCCCCCACGTGATC